TTTTTTTTTTTTTGCCAGTCCTAGAACTGGAACTGTGGGCTTGGGCACTGCCCCTGAGCTCCTTTTTTGCTCAAGGCTAGCTAGCACTCACTCTACTGCCTGAGCCACAGCATCATTCTGGCCTTTTCTGTGTTTAGTTGGAGATAAGAGTCTCACAGACTTTCCTGCCTGGGCTGGTTTCAAACCACAATCTCAGCCCCCTTAGTATCTAGGATTACAGGTGTGAGCCACTGGCATCTAACTTTATTTTTTTTTTTGTCAGGAGGCTTGAACTCTGGGTCTGGGAGCTGTCCCTGAGCTCTTCAGCTCAAGGCCAGCACTCTACCACTTGAGCCACAGTGCCACTTCTGGCTTTTTCTGTTTATGTGGTGTTGAGGAATTGAACCCAGGGCCTCATGCTTGAGGGGCAAGCACTCTACCACTGAGCCACCTTCCCAGCCCAAGCTTTGCATTTTTTAAAGTCCAGTTTTTGCTCCCCCCCCCCCCCCGAGCTACACAGTTTAATGTTCAGGTGGTCTCTGCTGTATATACAGTTATTTCAGTAATTGAATTAGGATCACTCTAAACTTTCCCAGACATAAACATGAGATCTTTTCCCCAACTAACTAAGGCAAAAAGAGTTGAGGGCATAGCTCAAGTGGTAGAGAGCCTGCCTAGAAAGCTAGACTGACCACTCTGGTCTCTTGGAAGACTAGAATTTTTGTACACAAAACCTCAGACCTTGGGTACACTGCTGTTGGGTAACTTACCATATTACTGACTTGTTGATTTTACCAGTGCTGGTGTTTGTTCTGGGGAGCTGGGATAGATGTAGGTGGTTAATAGGCACTTAGAACAGCGAAGCCAGGACAGATCCCAGCAGGAGTGACATGTTCTTGTGTTCCTGCAGATTTGGAGCACCAACCATTTGTTTCCCAATACAGAGGAAGCCACTCTTTTCCTCGGAACGCTGGATACTATTTTCCTCTTTTCTTATGCCGTGGTAAGTTCTAGAATATTATAGTATGGTAGTCTGTTTTTGCAATGCTGAGGATCAAACCTAGGGCTTCCCATCTGTTAGGCATGTACTGTGTGCTGTCTCCTCAAACAACCGTCAGCCTGGTAATGCACATTGAGCTGCTTCCTTCTGTAACTTGGGTGCGGGTTGCTTCCTGTGGATTGGGAGATTTTCTTCCTCTCCTTTAGTATATACAGCAGAGACCTGAACATTGAACTGTTGAATATTTGAGTTTACTTTGAGCTTGTGTGCTTCTCTTTGAAGAAACAAAAACCTGACAATATATGAGAAAGCAGTATCCATGTTTTCTCTAATCATCGTGATAGACAATTAGTTCTATATAAATTTAGGCTGGAGGTAAAGACATTTATTTTTATTTTTGTGCCTGTCCTGGGGTTTGAACTCAGGGCACTGTTCCTGAGTTTCTTTTGCTCAAGGTTAGCATTCTACCACTCACACCATAGCTGTACTTCCTGCTTTTTTGGCAGTCTATTGGAGATAAGAGTCTCACAGACTTTCCTGGCAGGGCTGGCTTTGAACTTTGATCCTTAGATTGCAGCCACCAGCTTCCAGCTTTGTTTCATGTTTTTATGGGCACAGCCTGATAAGGGTTGCCCTGAGGCTCTTCAGTTTCCCTTCCACTCTGATCGCAGCCTTTCTATTCCTGTAATGCAGTGGGAGGAAAGCGGATGGTAAACACTGGTGCTTATCTTCAGCTGCCTGCCATCATCCCTTCCTACTCTTTCTCCTGCCTCAGGATGTCATGAAAACCAGGGACAGATTAGCAGGCAGTGAGTGCACTGTGTAGCATCTGCCCCATGTCTCACGAGGCTGCAGAACTTATGGGAATGCTTCTTAACTGAGCTGCACATGGCTAAGGTATTCCTCAGCAAAGCTTAGAAATTCATTAGATGAGATATATTTGGGTGCTCATTTATTTTCAGTTAGGGAATCAAGTAAAACCAGGATTGCCTGAAGTGCAGTGTTGTGTCATAAAGGTTTGCAGGTAGCATGTAGAGCCCACACAGGAGTCTACTAGGATGTGGGGCGGTTAGGTGTCAGTCTCCTCAGTGTTCCCTTTGCCTTGTTTACTTTACAGTGCATGTTACCTCTTTAGACGATGTTGCTATGTAGAGCTGTAAAATGAAATGCTTTATTTTTAGGGCCTCTTCATCAGTGGCATCATTGGGGATCGGCTGAATTTACGATGGGTTCTATCTTTTGGCATGTGCTTGTCTGCATTAGTGGTAAGTTGGAAAGATTTCATAATCGTAATAATCCTTACTCTTTTTGTCAGAAAGTGTGTGCCTTACCATGTAGAGTAGAATAATGGTATCAATCCTTCTATAGAAGAGTGAGGAGGTTTCTCTCTTCAGTGTCCTAATACCTCGATGCTTTTCATTCATTTATATTTTATTTGTAAGATAGTTTTAGTTTGTTCATAAGTTTTTTTTCAATGATATTATACCACTTGAGCCATACCTCCAAGCCTCTTAGGGCTTTTTGTATATGTGTCTGTTTGTTCTGGTACTGGGACTTGAGCTCCTAGCTTTTTCATTAAAGGCTGGTGCTTTATCACTTGAACCACTCCTGGCTTTTTGATGGTTAATTGGAGATAAGAGTCTCATGGACTTTCCTGTCCTAGCTGGCTTCAAACCAGGATCCTTCGATCTCAGCCTCCTAGGTAGCTAGGATTACAGGTCCGAGCCACTAGCACCCAGCTTGCCTTAGTTATTTTTTGTGATAGGGTCTTGGGGTTGGACCACATGCTCAGTTTGTATGTGGAGATGGATTCTTGCTGGTTTTTTTTTTTTTTTTTTTGCCTGGTATGATCTCAACCCACCATCCTCTGGATCTCTGCCTTCTGAGTAGCAGAGATTACAGATGCAAGCCACAGCTGTCAGGAAGAATCTAATCAGGGCCTTGACTAAATAAAGAGTAGTGTTTGGAACTCAGCCCTACTTACCTGTCCAATTTTATTTGCTTCACCCGCTTTGCTTTTGCTACTTTCTGCCTTTCACTCCTTTTGCCCTTACTGTTCTTGTTCCTGTCCTTTCTACCTTGAATGGTTCCTTTCACCTCCCCATAGTCTAACTCAGGATCTTCTTCAAGTCTTGGCCACATAACTCTTTCCAAGGCCTGACTTTCCCCACCTCACTCCCAGAAGTAATCACGTGTCACCTCTTCTGAGCTCATGTTTGTGTTTCTCTGAAGCTTTTGCAGTCATCTGCTGTCCAGCCTTGTTAGTTCTGTGTCAGTCTTGCTTTCCCTAAGGACTGGGTTGCCTAGTGGTTAAGATCACAGATTCCCTCAATGGAGCCGGCCTGCATTTCTGTCCATCTTCTGCAGTTCCCTGCCTGGTGATTCCCTGTGTTCCAGCCTCCTTTATTGAAAGCGTGTCATGCATATTCCTGCTCCTGGGGTTGCTGGGGGTTGTGGGTGTCTGAAGGTGGAGCATTGGAACAGCATCAAGCACATTAGATATTGTGAAAGACATTTCCCATATTAGATTCATCCTTATTGCTTAAAAGCAAATCATGGAAATTTTTGTTGATGGATTCAAGCCGCAGTTTAGTTGGTACCCTAATGTATTGTGTTTTATTCAGTATCTACCAGATGAATGAGAAAAAACATTTTTCCCTTGAAATCTTAGGGTCTGAAACACTTTGTTCCCAATCTACTCACCTATGTGCATTTAATACTATTTTTAAATCTGTATGCTTACCCTTTGGGATTTGTTTTATGCTGGCACAGGGGCTTAAACTCAGGGCCATGAACTTTCCCTCAAGGCTAGTGCTCTACCATTAGAGCCACAGCTCCACATCTGGCTTTTTGCTGGTTAATTGGAGATGAGAGGCTCACAGGTTTCCCTGCCCAGGGTGGCTTTGAACCATAATCAGCTTTCTTTGAGTGCTAAGATTACAGGTTTGAGCCACCAGCACCTGACTTCTGACAGTATTATTATTATTATTATTTTGGTCATGGGGCTTGAACTCAGGGCCTGGGCACTGTACCTGAGCTCTTTGGCTAGTACTCTATCACTTTGAGCCACAGTGCCACTTTGGGTTTTCTGGTGGTTTATTGGAAATAAGAGTTGTGGACTTTCCTGCCTGGGCTGGCTTTGAACCACGATCCTCAGATCTCAGCCTCTTGAGTAGCCAGGATTACAGGCATAAACCACTGGCACCCAGCCTGACAGTATTTCAAAAATAGACTTTGATTGCAAATAAAACATCCCCTTGAGCAAAATGCCTGAAAAGAGCAGGTGCTTAGTGAGAGCTACTAAATGATTGAACACAAGACAAGTTAGACAAGTTCACTCATGCAGCCTGGCTCTGTCCTGGGTGAATGTACATAGTGCATTCATGTGGTGCTTGTGGTCCTCTAGAGACTGCCACCCCACCAAGTCCAAGGGGCACATGGAAGTAGATAGAAAATGAGACCTCAACTTCTCAACTATTTTTTGTTGTTGTTGTTGTTGTCATTTTTTTTTTTTTTTTGTTCGGTTGTGGGGCCTGAACTCTGGGCCTGGGCACTGTCCCTCAGCTCTTCAGCTCAAGGCTAGCGCTCTACCACTTGAGCCACAGCGCCACACTTTTTTTTCTGCTTATATGGTGCTGAGGAATCGAACCCAGGGCCTCATGCATGCAAGGCAAGCACTCTACCACTGAGCCAACTTCCCAGCCCTGTTGTCATTGTTGTATTTGTCCTGGGACTTGAACTCAAGGCCTGAGTGCTGTCACTGAGCTTTTGTTCAAGGTTCATTCTACCCACTAGAGCCATAGCTCTGCTTCCTGATTTTTTGGGGTTAATTGGAGATAAGTCTCTTAGACTTTCCTGATCATACTAGCTTCAAACCATGATCCTCAGATCTCAGCCTTCTGAGTAGCTAGGATTATTGACATGAGCCACTAGAGCCTGGCAATTTCTTACAACTGAAGATACAGATAGGGAGGATGGTAACACAATGACTTAGTCATTTGGCATCTTTGCTTCTCTGGTTGGTGATGACCTGGTGGCTTGTCTCCTTGTGCCAGCTTTGAGCCCAAGTGCTTTAATAGTCAGCTCTTCCTGACTCAGGTGCTAGGAGTGTGTCCTCTGTGTAGTCTGGCAGGAAGTGCTGTGTTCTGAAGTGTGCATGTAGACATCATGTGTCCTTTTTCCTTTCCCTCCTTCGAAGGTGTTTGTGTTTGGCACCCTCACAGAATGGCTGCACTTCTACAACAAATGGTTCTACTGCTGCCTGTGGATTGTGAACGGCCTGCTGCAGTCCACGGGCTGGCCCTGTGTGGTGGCTGTGATGGGCAACTGGTTTGGCAAAGCTGGGTATGCCACTTCCTCTTCTTTGATTGCCGTCCTGACGGGTTTTGTTGGATTGCTCAGCCTTGTCAAATAACTTGATGCTTTAGACACGGTCCACATCATTCCTTTAACTAACTTATTATGTTAAACGATATTTATTTTTCTTTGTGTTGATACCGGGGCTTGAACTCAGAGCCTAGATGCTGTCCCTTGTTGTTTTATTTTATTTTATTTTTTGCCTGATACTGGGACTCAAATTCAGTATCTGAAGCTTTTGCTCATTGGCTGGCACTCTACCATCTGAGCCAGGCCTCCAACCCATCTCTTTTTTTTCTCAAGGCTTGTACTCTATCACTTGAGCCACAGCTCCACTTCCAGCTTTTTTTTTTTTTTTTTGCGTGTCCTGGGGCTTGAACTCAGGGCCTCGGCACTGTCTCTGAGTGTCTTTTGCTCAAGGCTAACATTCTACCACTTGAGCCACAGTACTACTGGCCTTTTCTGTGTATGTGGTATTGAGGAATGGAACCCATGGCTTCATGCATGCTTGGCAAGCACTCTACCACTAAGCTACATTCCCAGTCCTACTTCCAGCTTTTTTGGTGGTTAATTGGTAATGTAAGAGTCTTAACAGTCAGGCACTGGTGGCTCATACCTATAATTCTAGCTATTGAAGAGGCTGAGATCTGAGGATCAGAGTTAAAACCAGCCTTGGCAGGAAAGTCCGTGAGACTCTTTTGTCCAATTAACTACTAGAAAAGCAGAAATGGCAACATCACTCAGAGTGGTATAGTGCTAACCTTGAGCAAAAAAGCTCAGGGACAGTGTCCAGGCCTTGAGTTCAAGTCCCACAACAGACAAGAAACAAGAATCTTACAGACTTTCCTGGCCAGGCTGTCTTTGAACTTCAGTCCTCAGATCTCAGCCTTCTGAGTAGAGAAGATTACAGGCATGAGTCACCACAGCCTGGCTCAGTTTGTGTTTTTAAAATTCATCTTTTCCTTTAGAGATTATGCCAGTCCCACCTGCTATTCCCCTGTGTATTTCTGTAAGATTTGTCCTCCTTGCACTTGATCACTGGGACTTGCTGATCTAGTCTAGTCTTAAATTAAGCATGAGGAGACGGAGCCACAAGTTAGCCTTGTGACTTACTCTAGGACACATGGCAGTGGCTCTGATAAGATTCAGGTAAAGCAAGGTTAGATTGATTCCCCCCCCCCCCCATCTTCACAGAGTTGTTAGGTTATGTTTGACTTTGGGTGTTTGGCACAGGCTGCAGGACGAAGCTACGCGTCTGTTCCAGGTCTTCAGGAAGTGGTGCTGAATTCCTATAATGGGACATAAGTGGACAGCCAGACTTGCTTTACGATTTATCATTGTCAGTGATATTCCCATTTTGGGAACATTGTTAATTGAGATTTTATCATTTTTCCAGGCTCCATATTTCCATGTTGTCAGATGCACAATCGCTCCTGAGTGGTCCCGTGTCTTTTTGGATATTTGCTCGTTTACACGGTGGCCAGAGTCAGCCACGGCCCTTACCCTCCCTGGCCACGGCCCTTACCCCCTGCTGTGGCTGAGCTGTGCTCTGGCTGTTTCTAAGCTTTCCAGCTTGCCCGCTTCCACAGTGGGGGTTACCTTGATCCTCAACGATCTGTAACAATGTGAAAGTTTACCTATAAAATGGCTGTGGTTAGAATAAGCACCACTTAGGAACGCTTTGATTATATGTCAGTCTGCTAGTGATTTCTGCTTCCTTCCCACGCTGGCGTCCCTGGATTAACAGAAATGCGTTGTAAAACATTCCCCTAGGATACTTCAGTTTCCTATGGAAATACATTTTTTTTCTTTTTGTAATACTGGCAATTTGTACACAGACACTCAGGCAGACTAGGCAGTGTTCTACCACTGAGCTACATGTATACCCAGACCTGTTTTTATTTGTTTTATTTAAACAACACTGTTTTATTTGAGCTAGGGTCTTGCTACATTGTCCTCAAGCTTGAAGCTTGTCTTCTGAGTAGCTGTGATTGCCAGCATGTGGCCCCACACCTACTTGTTATGTGCATATATTTGTACACACACACACATGTACATGTATGTTCATATAGTACATATGTGCTATATGTATGTGAATATTATGTGAATATTATATATATATATGTATATATATATATATATATGGATAGTAATTCAGACCTCCTACTTGCTAGACAAGTGTACTTGAATTATGCAACCAGGCCATGGCTGTAGTATTTTATTTATTACTTTGTTTTTGTGCCAGTACTGGGGCTTGAACTCAGGGCCTGGGTACTGTTCCTTAACTTTTTTGCTCAGGAGGACTGATGCTCTGTGACTTGAGCCACAGTTCTACTTTCAGCTTTTTGGTAGTTCGAGATAAAAAATCTCTGATTTGTCTACCTGGGCTGACTTCGAACCACAGTCCTCAGATCTCAGCCTTCTGAGTAGTTAGGATTATAGGCCTGAGCCACTGACACCCAGCTCTGTGTGACTCTCTTTATGGATTTTATTATTTGTATGATATTGGGGCATTCTAGAACTAGAGACATACTGAGAGACTCTTAAACTAAAGTGATCACCGAGGGAGGCCACTGCCCCTAAACAGCCCAAGCCCATACTTTGAGTTATATTGCTGCTCTTGGCTTTTAAACGAATTCTAATGGGGGACAGTGGCTTCCACCTGCACAGCATCTAGGCCTTCCACCACAGTTGTGCATTATGGCCCAGTCCTTTCTAGAGCACCACAGGTGAGAGCGCTGGGCTTGGCTGGCAATGTGGGTGTGATTACACAACTGGAAGTGGCAGACCTCAGCCTTCTACACAAACATTTCCCAATGTGTAGTCTTCCTGTTCATTTCTGAAGTTCCTCCTAGTGAGATACAAAAATGTTGAAAGAGCTAAAAAACAAACAAAAAACCCCCCACAAAACCCGCAACCCCCCAGCCCTGTGAATTAGTAAATATATCACATAGAACAAAATATAAATTCAGACTTTAAAAAAATGCACTTTTCTTGAATCCTTTTTCTTCTACCTGCCCTAGAATGAAGCCAGGGCCTTGGGCTAGCAAGGAGAGCTCTCTTCCACTCAGCTTACCCACACCCCTAAATTGAACTTTCTTTTTTTTTTTTTGCTGGTCATGGGGCCTAAACTCTGGGCCTGGGCACTGTCCCTCAGCTCTTCAGCTCAAGGCTAGTGCTCTACCACTGGAGCCATAGCACCACTTCTGGCTTTTTCTGCATATGTGGTGTTGAGGAATTGAACCCAGGGCCTCGTGCATGCAAGGCAAGCACTCTACCACTGAGCCACCTTCCCAGCCCCCTAAACTGAACTTTCATATCACACAATCTCAGAAGACACCTGAGAGCGTTTTAGTGTTTTTCAAAGCTTTGAATTGATTTGTTTTATTCTTTGTCATGTGGATTTTTACTGTTTTGGATTGCACATACAATTCCTTTTGATGATGTCATCCTCTGTCTCCCACTGCTGTCTTTAGCCGGGGTGTCGTTTTTGGTCTCTGGAGTGCCTGTGCCTCAGTGGGCAATATTTTGGGAGCATGCCTAGCATCGTCTGTTCTGCAGTATGGATATGAGGTGGGTATTTCTCTCCAACTTTGTGTGTGTGTATATGTGTGTGTGTATGTGTATATGTGTGTGTGTGTGTGTGTGTGTGTGTGTTGTGTAGTGTGTATGATTTTTTTTTTTCTGGTCTTGGGGCTTGAACTGGGGGCCTGGGTGCTGTCCCTGAGCTTATTTTGCTCAAGGCTAGTATACTACCCCTTGAGCCACAGCATCATCTCTGCCTTTTTCTTAGTAGTTTTTTGGAGGTAAGGGTCTCATGGACATTCCTGCCCAGGCTAGCTTTGAACCATGATTCTCCGATCTCAGCTTCCTGAGTAGCTAGGATTACAGGCATGAGCCACCAGTGCCCAACACGATGAAGTAATTCTATACTGGAGGTATGGCTCAAATGGTAGAGTGCTAGCTGAGCTAGCAGATGAAGCAAATGTGAAGCCCTGAGTTCAAAGCCAGTACTGCCAAAAAAAAAAAAAAAGGATGAAGTAATTTAAAAACAACATTGATGGGTTGGGGATTTAGTTCTGTGGAAGAGTACTTGCCTGGCAAGTGCAAGCCCTGAGTTTGGGCCTCACCTCTGCAAAAAGAAAAAAAAAAGACATAGTGCTATGTTTGTGTAGGACCAGGCTTAATACTTACATTAAGAATAGAAAAACTTCTCTAATTTCAAACACATAAAAATGAAGCATAACAAAAAAACCCTACTACTAACAAGAGTACAAAGACCTACAACCAACTGAGAAAAAGTGTTTGCAACCTTCTGTACATCATCTTTATAATAACTTTTTTTTTTTTTGTCAGTCATGGGGCTTGAACTCTTCAGCTCAAGGCTAGCACTCTACACTTGAGCCACAGAGCCACTTCGAGTTTTCTGGTGGTTAACATTGGAGATAAGAGAGTCTCATGGACTTTTCATGTCCGGGCTGGCTTTGAACTGTGATCCTCAGATCTCAGCCTCCTGAGTAGCTAGGATTACAGGTGTGAGCCACTGGCACCCAGACTACAATAAAAATTTTTTAAAAAAGCATTTGCAACTCATGACTAATAAATGATCTCCCTGCAATGTAAAGAACACCAAGAAATTTGTGAGGAAACCACCATTGACCAAGACAGAACATCTGAACACATTAGTCATGGGAAGGAAACTAAAATGATTTGAACATGAGAAGATAGTCACCTTCAGTCATAGTGTATTTTTGTTGTTGTTGTTGTTGTTGGCTGTGGGGCTTGAACTATGGGCTTGGGTGCTGCCCCTGCGTTCTTCAGCTCATGGACTTCCCTGCCCTGGCTGGCTTTGAACCGTGATCCTCAGATCTCAGCCTCCTGAGTAGCTAGGATTACAGGCATGAGCCACCAGCACCTGGCTCACCCAAGTAATGTTCAAAACCTTTTCTGTGTGTCTATAGCACTGGCCAGAAGAGGTGAGCATTTCGGGCTTGGTGAAGCTCAGGTATTTGTCTGTAGAAAAATCAGATTGCAGCTGTAACCTAAAAAGAAACAAAGAAAAATCTACATTGTATACTTGTTAGATTGGTTACATCTAAAATGTTGCTAATCTGTTGCCTTCATTAGTTGGAGAACAATAGGCATTCCTCCTAGTAGACTACATAATCCATCTAGGGTCCATTGGCAATATTTGTCCAAGTTACACCTGCTACAACCAAACATTCTATGGGCAGGAGTTAACCAGGTGTAGGTGCTTACTTAGCAGTACAAAATGATAGTTGTACAAGGACATTGCAACATTGTAACAGCCAAAGATTGAAAACAGAATCATGCCTGTCATCCCAGCTGCTCAGGAGGCTGAAATCTGAGGATCATGGTTGGAAGCTAGTCTGAACAAGATCTGTGAGACTTTTAACTCTGATTACCAGCAGAAAGCTGAAAGTGGAGTTGTGGCTAGCCTTGAATTCAGTGGCCTAGGCCCTGAATTCAAACCCCAGTCCTTGCACAAAAAAAGAAAAACAACTCATTTGGTAGGCTGCTGTGTAGCTGTGAGGTAGAATTAAGAGCTCTGTGTAGGGTAGAGACCGCACATTGGGGAGAGCTCAGACACAGCAAGTGTGCAGAGCAGTGTGCATTGAATTATATGGATGACTATACATTTATATGAGTTGATATCTTTCTTTTGGGGGGGCTTTATTCAAATTTGAACTCACAAGTCTTGTTCTTGCAAGGCAGGTGCTCTACTACAAGAGTCTTGCCCTAGCCATTTTTGCGTTAGTGTTTTTCTGATAGGGCCTCACATTGATGCCCAACAGGCCTGGACTGTCATCCTCTTTTACACGTCCCACATAGCTGGGATGACAGCCATGTGCTGTCAGGTTATTGGTTAGCTGAGGACTCAAACCATGATTTTCCCAGTCTCTGCTTCTCGTGTAACCAAGATTACAAGTAATAAGTTACTATGCCTGGCGGTTTCTTAACCAAACTGGACAGTAGAAATTAAACGTCAGTGGTGCTTGTATGTTGTGGCAATTGGGAGAATTGTGTGGGCTGGGAAGGGGTGGGAGGGAGAGTTTTCATTCTAGACTATTCTAGGCTTTGTTCTTGAATCACTGCCTGCTCAGAAATCTGAATAATTAAAAGTAAATTGCTCATCTGGAAAGCAGATGCAATTTCAAACAGCTCCTCAAGAGTTTGATGATGTTTTATCAGTCCTCTGTACTGTAGATTGCTCACTAGCCTAGCTGGATAGTACTAACTGGTTCAGATATAAATCTCACTTCACTCTAGTGCTGCCTCCAGCTTTGACTTCTGCGTTTGTTTTGTCATTCACTGGTTTCAAAATGGCCTGCCTGTGCCCCTTGGGCCCTGTTGCCTGTAAACTACAAGTAAGACTCGAAGCCTGGCCATGGCGGGTCTTTGGTCTTCATGCCAACTTCCCATGTCAGTTTCTTCTCTAGTTGTCCCCAGCGGAGGATCTCTCCTCTAGCCATGCACAGGCCTTCCTGCCCATTCCCACCCACCTTTGCTGCCTTGTCTCTGCCAACATGGGAAGTTGCTGTGATTTTCTGTTCTCTCAACTTCACTTCCTTTTAGCTATTTCTTCCTTGTATGCACGTGTGTGTGTGTGTGTGTGTGTGTGTGTGTATGTGTGTGTGTGTGTGTGTGTGTGTGTGTATGTGTATCAGGGCCTGGACACTATCCCTAAGTTTTTTTTTTTTTTTTTTTCTCTACCACTTGAGACACAGCTCCACTTCTGACTTTTGGGTGATTAATTGGAGAGAAGAGTCTTGATGACTTTCCTGTGATCCTCAGATCTCAGCCTCTTGTGTAGTTAGAATTACAGGTGTGAGTCACCAGTGCATGGCTTACTTTTAGTTTTTTTGTTGGTCATGGGGCTTGAACTCTGTCCCTCAGCTCTTCAGCTCAAGGCGAGCACTCTATCACTTGAGCTACAGCACCACTTCCAGTTTTCTGGTGGTTTATTGGAGATAAGAGTCTCACGGACTTTCCTGCCTGGGCTGGCTTTGAACCTTAATCCTCAGATCTCAACCTCCTGAGTAGCTAGGATGACAGGCATGAGCCACCAGCGCCTGCACTTTTAGCTTTTTTGCTGGTTAATTGGAGGTAACAGTCTCTAGAATTTATCTGCCCAGGCTAACTTTGAACCATGATCCTCAGATCTCACCCTTCCTATTATCTAGGTTTACAGGTGTAAGCCACCAATGCTTGGCCTCTTTCCTCCTCCTGAATTGCTGTGTTTCTAAATGGGTCTAGGCCTTCTCATGGGCTCGTATGTGGGGTATGGTTTCATTCTAGAGGGATATAGCATTTCTGAGGGTAGAGCCTGTCTTTGAGGCTGGTGGTGGGCAGCATGAGATTTGGGACAGTGTCACTTGGTATCAGGGCATCCTGATGACCTTCTCTGAGCCTCACAGGCCAGAACATGAAAAGGAAAGTCACAGTGAAGCAGCTGACATAGTGCTTGGCATGGATGCCTGCCTTCCCGAGTTCTCCCCAGTGTCCCTCTCCGTCCTCTCTGTTGCCCCTCGCCCTGTGCTGAATGTGCTGTGCTGACTACGTGTTTAAGAGCCACCTCCCTCTCCCCTCCAGTACGCCTTTCTGGTGACCGCGTCTGTGCAGTTCGCTGGTGGGATCGCCATCTTCTTTGGACTCCTAGTGTCACCAGAGGAAATTGGTGAGAAGCTGTCTCTTCCATTCGAAGTGTCTAACTGCTTGGGCCCAAGAGAAATGGAGGAAAGGGCCAGGAAATGGGATCCCTCTTAGGAAAAAAAAATGGTTTGGTTGGTCGTGGGGCTTAAACTCAGGGTCTGGGCACTGTCCCTGAGCTCTCACTCAAGGCTAGTACTTTACCACTTTGAGCCACAGCTCCACTTCCGGTTTTTTGGTAGTTAGTTGGAGATAGAGTCTCATGGAATTTCCTGCCCAGGATGGCTTTGAACTGTAATGCTCAGATCTCAGTCTCCTGAGTAGTTAGGATGACAGGCGTGAGCCACCTGGCTCTTAGGAAAATTTCTGTGCCACTTTAAGTGAATTAAAGGAGCCTTGTTGCCTTGGAGCTAAGCCTGGGACCGTTGCAGTGTTGAGGGAAGCCAGTTTTGCAGTTCAAGCAAAAACCAAGCATTTGAAAACACTTTGTTCTTGTGTATGTGCAAGACTGGGGCTTGACTTGAATTCAGGATCTCCTGCTCTCAATTTTTTTACTTTCCTGGCTGGCACGCCACCTCTTGAGCCATGCGTCCATTTCTAGCTTTTGTGTGTGTGTCTGCTGGTCCTGGGTCTTGAACACAGGGTCTAGACACTGTCCTTAAGCTTTTTTTTGCTCAAGGCTAGCACTTGCCCATTTGAGCTGCAGCTCCACTTCTGGTTTTTGGTGGTTTATTGGAGATAAGAATCTCACACTTTCCTGCCAGGGCTAGCTTTGAACTTTGATCCCCAGACTACAGCCTTCTGAATAGTTAGGACTACAGCTGTTTGCTGGATATTTGGAGACAATACCTCAGATCTGTTTGCCCAAGCTGGTTCTGAACAGTAATTCTCAGACCTCAGCCTTCTGAGTAGTTAAGAGCTCATGGCTTACGAATGATTTTTATAGTTGGGACACTGACTAACAATTAGCATGAATGTTTTTTTGTTTTTGTTTTGGTCAGTCCTGGGCTTGAACTCTGGGCCTTGGTACTCTTCCTGAGCTCTTCAGCTCAAGGCTCTACCACTTGAGCCACAGTACTACTTCCAGTTTTCTGGTGGTTAATTGGAGATCAGTGTCTCACAGATTACTTTCCTGCCTGGGCTGGCTTTGAACTGTGATCCTCAGATCTCAGCCTCCTGAGTAGCTAGGATTATAGGTGTGAGCCACCTGCACCTGGTTTTTGAATGTATTTTTGAAGTTACTTAAAATAGCCAGGACTGGTGGCTCATGCCTGTAAGCCTAACTACTCAGGAGGATGATCTCTGAGGATCACGATTCAAAGCCAGCCGGGGCAGGAAGTCTGTGAGACTCTTATCTCCAAGTGACCACCAGAAAACAGGAAGTGGCTCTGTGGCTCAAGTGGTAGAATATTTGCCTTGAGCTGAAGAGCTGAGGGACAGTGCCTAGGCCCAGGGTTTAAGCCCCACGACCACCCACCCCCAACAAAATTACATTAATTGTATAAGAGAAATGTAATTGTGACATTGTGATGCGCAATGTATCCCCATCAAACTCACTTCCTCTGTTACTCTTTCTTAAGACAGCTTCTGCGGCTATCATTGTTCTGTTTTCATACATGTAAATAAACGACTTCAAGCATGGCTGTATTTTTAATCTCACATCTTGAGACTGATTTCTTTTCCTTCCTCAAAGTGATTCAGTTTGATATACTTATGATTAAATACAGAATATGTACAGATGAAGCCACAGAAGCCCCGTCCTTGGAGTGGAAATAAGCAGGCCATGTGACCTTCATTGGCCTTAGTTGACATTGGTTTCTGAACTTCAGTTGCTTTTTCTGCAAAATAGCCATAGAAATAATATTGATTTCATAATCTGTGATACCTGCAAAGCCCATAGCACAATGCAGTCACACAGATTGCCCACTGGCACTCTGTAGATGGCGGCACACAATAGGCACTATGTAAAGGCGGGCACACAGTGGATACTCCATAACTGGTAGCTGTTACTGTTGTTTTAGGTCTCACGGGTCTGGAGGCAGAAGGAAACTTCGAAGATTCACACAGGCCACTAATCAATGATGCTGAGAATGAAGATGAATATGAGCCAAATTACTCAGTCCAGGAGGACAACCCTGTTACCCAAGTGAAGGCAATAGGCTTTCACCAGGCTTGCTGCCTTCCTGGAGTCATACCGGTAAGGACTGGCAGTCTTCCCCACCAGGGAGGGATCCTGGTTCCTGGGAATACTGTGCCTGAGGTAGAGCTGCTTTAATTTTTGGGACCTAGCCGAAGAATGCTCTGTGGAGTCCCTCAGCTTACCTCATAGCTGGTTCAGATCAACAGCCCCTTTTGCCAAAGCGACAGAGAGTAAATGGTTTCACATTTAGGGGAGCTGTACTGTCTACAGCATGAGAGAGAGCCAAGGCACTGTGGGACAGATGGGTGTGGTCAAGCTTGACCCAGGAGCCCTGGTGTACTGACCCAGCCTGATCCAGCAGACAGCCAACAAAGCAAAACTGACTTGTTTTTTGTGGGTCATGGGACTTGAACTCTGCGCCTGGGCGCTGTCCCTCAGCTCTTCAGCACAAGGCTAGCACTCTACCACTTGAGCCACAGTGCCACTTCCAGTTTTCTGAGTGGCTTATTGGAGGTAAGAGTCTCCCAGCCAGGTGCCAGTGGTTCATGCCCATAATCCTAGTGACTCAGGAGGCTGAGATCTAAGGATCATGGTTCAAAGTCATTCTAGGCAGGAAAGTCCTTGAGACTCTAATCTCCAATAAACTACTCAGAAAAAGCTGGGAGTGGCACTGTGGCTCAAAAAGTAGAACGCTAGCCTTTTTTTTTTTTTTTTTTGGTCGGTTGTGGGGCTTGAACTCTGGGCTTGGGCTCCGTCCCTGAGCTCTTTAGCTCAAGGTGAGCGCTCTACTGCTTGAGCCACAGTGCCATTTCTGGTTTTCTAGTGGTTTTTATTGGAGATAAGAGTCTCACTGGCTTTCCTGAGCGGGGTTGGCTTTGAACCGTGATCCTCAGATCTCAGCCTCCTGAGTAGCTAGAATGACAAGTGTGAGCCACCGATGCCCAGGTAAATGCTATTTGGGGGCTTTTTTTTTAGTCGGTTGTAGGGCCTGAACTCTGGGCTGGGCGCTGTCTCTCAGCTCTTCAGCTCAAGGTTAGTGCTCTACCACTTGAGCCACAGCACCACTTCAGGCTTTTTCTGCTTATATGGTGCTGAGTGGAACCCAGGGCCTCATGCACATGAGGCAAGCACTTTACCACTGAGCCACCTTTCCCCACCCCAGAGCACTAGCCTTGAGCACAAAGAGGCCAGGGATAGTGCCCAGTTCAAACCCCAGGACTGGCAAAAAAAATATGTGGGGCTTGAACTCTGGGCCTGGACTCTGTCCCTAAGCCTCTTTGTGGCCAAGCTCTACTATTTGAGCCACAGTGTCACTCCCAGCTTTTCCTGAGTAGTTTATTGGAGAAAAGAGTCTCATGCTGGGCAGTGGCTCATGTCTGTAATCCTAGTTACTCAGGAGGCTGAGATCTGAGGATTGTAGTTCAGAGCTTGCTCAAGCAGGAAAGTCCGAGAAACTCTTATCTCCAATAAACCACCAGAAAACCGAAGTGGTGCTATAACTCAAGTGGTAGAGTACTTACCTTGAGCTGAAGAGCTAAGGGACAGTGCTCAGGCCCAGAGTTCAAGCCACATTACAAAAAAAAAAAAAAAAATTCCATGGATTTTCCTGCCTGGGCTGGCTTTGAACCTTGATCCTCAGATCTCAGCCTCCTGAGTTGCTAGGATTTCAGGTGTGAGCCCCCTGCACCCAGCTCATCTTTATTTTTTGGTGCTGGTACTGGGGCTTCAATTTGGCCTGGGTTCTGTCCCTTAGCTTTTTTGTTTGTTTGTTTTTTTTGTTTTATGGCAGTTCTGGAACTTAAACTCTGGGCCTAGCCACTGATTCTGAACTCAAGGTTAGCTCCCTAACATTTGAACCACAGCTTTACTTTTGGCTTTTTGGTAGTTAGTTAGAGATGAGAGTCTCACAGACTTTTCTGCTCAAGCTGGCTTTGAACCACAATCATCAGACCGTAGCCTCTTAAATAACTAGGATTATAGGTATAAAGCCACTGACACCTGGTTGTCTAATGTGTGTGTGTGTGTGTGTGTGTGTGTGTGTGTGCTAGTCATGGGGCTTGAATTCAGGGCCTAGGCACTGCCCCTGAGCTTTCTTTTGCTCAAGGCTAGCACTCTACCACTTTTGCCACATGTCACTTCTGGCTTTTCTGTTTATGTGGTACTGAAGAATTGAACCCAGAGCTTCATGCATGCTTAGCAAGTACTCTACCACTGTCACATTCCCCGCCCTGTCTATTACCTTTTTTGCTCAAGGTTGGTGGTCTACCACTCGAACCACACCTCCACTTCTGGGTTTTTGGTAGTTAATTAGAGATAAAAGTGCCCTAGACTTAACTGCCCTGGCTGACTTTGAACCTCAGCCTCAGATCTTAGCCTCCTGAGTAGCTGGGCTTACAGGGGTGAGCCCCTGACATCCAGCAAGTCTGTGCCATCTTATTTCATATTGATCACTTTGCTTCTGCTTGTGCCCTCCAACTATAAAAACTAACACTTCAAATGGGTAGTTCAGTGTATGTTAAAACACAGTGTTATTTCCTACTTTCCTCTAACCCTTAGAAATTCAGGTTTCTTTAGATCTGTTCTTCTGCTGAGGTATTACTTTCCAACCAGTTATTCAGATTCTCTGCTACCAATAGTCTGTTGAGACAGAACTTAAATTTGTGGTGAGTAAAGGCAGAACTGTTCTAGTGAGTCTTTTGTGCTTCCCAGGTCATTGTTCTCAGGCAGGGGCAGGGACATAAAGGAAACCTCCTTGGCTTCCTCCTTTGTCTCTGGCAGGCTGGTGGACAGCCGGCTCTGGTGATTGGGGTTTGGCTCTCTAGGGGGTGGCTGCTGTCCTGCCAGGGGCACACATTTAAAACACGTGTCTGCAGGGGATAGCCGCCAGCTCTGCGGCAGGAATATGCTAGGCAGACAGCCTTTGAAGTCAGCCCCTCTGCCTCTCCCCCTGTCTGTCCTTTGATGCTAAATGTCAGGATTTCCTGGTAAGAGTACTGTGTTGCACGTAAGTGTCCCAGCTCGGCCACCATTCTGAGCAGCTGTAACCAGCTTCCTTCGAAAGAGCTGAGAGGCCAATGACGACCGTGTTCCTTTGTTCTGATCTGCCGGACATGCTCTGCTCTGCTGCGGACTGGGGAATGCCGAGTGTGGGCAGCTCTGATCTGAAAGGTCTCATATGGATGCTTGTTTTTTAAACTTTTTTTTCCCCTAGTGCCTGTACTGAGGCTGAAACTCAGGGAATGGGTGCTGTCTCTTAGATTTTATTTTATTTTATTTATTTTTTTTTGGGTCCAGTCATGGGGCCTGAACTCTGGGCCTGGGCACTGTCCCTCAGCTCTTCAGCTCAAGGCTAGCGCTCTACCACTTGAGCCACAGTGCCACTTCCGGCTTTTTTTTTTTTTTTTACTTATGTGATGCTGAGGAGTCGAACTCAGGGCCTCATGCATGCACAAGTGCTCTACCACTGAACCACCTTCCCAGCCCTTAGATTTTATTTTATACTCTATCACTTGAGCCACTGATCCACTTGCAGCTCTCTTTTTTTTCTTTGTATTTGATTTTTGTTTTTTTATTGTAAAGATACTATACAGAGTGTTACAGTTACATGAGTGAGGTAATGAGTGCACTTCCTCTTGAACATTGTTACCCCCTCCATTGTTTTCTCCCTACCATCCCTTCCCTCCCTACCTTCCCCAAGGTTCTTTTTTTTTTTAATTGTGATTAAGTGATTACATAATTTCTGGAAT